AAAAGCCTGCGGCCACTGGTTGTGCACTAAACTACAGCTCATAAGTGCCAGTAAATCACATCACAGCATGCAGATATGGTGTGTGTGCCTATACATGCTGTGCAAAGGACGCATGATGCATTTGTTCAGAGCATCATGCTTAAGCAGGTATTCTCCTAATGGGAGCCTAGATAGAAAACTTCCTGAGAATCCAAGGTTAGTTGAAATGAATTATGAAGTATGCAAATGTTTCTACGCCGTGTGATGCATAGAAAAAGCAGAACTGACATATTGTCTTATCCTTGGGTATATATATATATATATATATATATATATATATATATATATTATAAATTATGGAACAAATAGATGAGAGAGAGAAGAGGGATGACAGGGAGAGAGAAAAATAGAGAATAAGAGATGGAGAAAGGGGGAGAGGGGGGAGAGAGATAGAGGAGAGAGGGAGAGAGAGAGGGGCGAGAGAGGAAGAAAGAGAGAGAAAGATGAGTGAAGGGGGGGGGGGGAAGAGAGAGAGTAAACATTAAGTTAGCAAGCTACATTGTCCAGATAAAATTCAGAAACATGTATCAACCAAAGCTAACTCCAATAGTAAACTATAATTGCTGTTAATAACTTGCAAAACATTTATTTAGACAATAAGATCTTAAGCATATCATCTACACCAGACGAATACTTTGTTGCTTATGAAATGTCCAATGTTTTTTTTTTCACAGTTAATAACAAAAACAATTTCTCCTCTCTCTGGTTTTATTTTTATTTTTATTTTTATTTCTCTACCATGGAACCATATAGTGTCTACTTATGTGCTTAGCAACCTTCGGTGGAAATAATTTTTTTAAATCTAAAGTACAAAAGTTACGTTCGGTTCCCTTTTGAGCAAAAATGGAAATTTGTTATATTAAATATTGAATGTGGAAAGATTTTATATTACTTTCTTACATCCGGAGGTTCTTTCATTTTCCCAAAATGGTATCAACCAAAGGCTGATTCTAGTGATGGAATAAGATATATTTTCCCCATTTCTTCATATTTCCCAGAATGTTTACAAGAGGATCACCCAGTTTCCAATGTCAAATTGGTGTGGGAACTGGAAAAGTTATTTTCTCCCTTTTAAATCTCAGGATCATCCTCAGGATTCATCCCTTCCAACTTTATCATCATCATTATTATTATTATTACAGGTCATGTATAATACTGTATAATTGTTTTTCATAGTTTGGGTTGACATGATAGCAGTGTTCCAATATCTCAGGGGCTGCCCCAAAGAAGAGGGAGTCAAGCTATTCTCCAAAGCACCTGAAGGCAGGACAGGAAGCAACGGATGGAAACTAACCAAAGAGAGAAGCAACCTAGAACTAAGGAGAAACTTTCTGACAGTTAGAACAGTTAAATCAGTGGAACAACCTGGCTCCAGAAGTTGTGAATGTTCCAACACTGGAAGTTTTTAAGAAGAGACTAGACAACCATTTGTCTGAAATGGTGTAGGTTCTCCTGCTTGAACGGGCAGCTGGACTAGAAGACCTCCAAGGTCCCGTTATTCTATTCTATTCTATTCTATTCTATTCTATTCTATTCTATTCTATTCTATTCTATTCTCATTTGTATCAAAATTTGCCCTAATATTTACAGAACAGGATCTCAAATCTTTGTTTAGCCCTCCTAATTTATGTCTAATTAAACTGTCAAAATTACCATTGCATTGCATAAGCTCCTAAACAGTGTTGTTATTACACACTAGGAGTGCAGTTTAGAGGCCTGTACAAATCAACTCTAATTTTATTCAGAGTGGGATGTTAAGATTTCTTTAGTTTACAAGCTGAGATTTGAAATAGAGGCATCCCACTCTGCATTAAGATGCTGGAATAATTGTCTGCAATTAGCCACAATGATGGGCAAACTATCTCTTGATGCAAAGGGTGGACCCTTGAATTTCAAACTAAGCAAAATAACTCGGAGTCAACTTTTGAAGAGACTGTATTATTCTGACGAGACAGTCAATAGTGAGATAAAATATATCAAGTGGCAATAGAACTGGAATGGGACATTTTAAATGATTGAGTGGGACATTTCAAATGTCCTTGCAAAAAAAAAAAAAGGACAGTACAGAGGAAAGAATACTGTGGATTTGATGACTAACTCCATTTGGGCCAATCTGGTCTGTATATAGAATTGAGGAGTCCTTGATACTCTCTCTGAGCTTAGTTGTTTTCTTGCAGACATTTCATTACCCAGACTAGGTAACATCATCAGTACTCTAATGATGTTATCTAGTTTGGGTAATGAAACATCTGAAAGAAAACAACCAAGCTCAGAGATAGTACAAAGGGCCACTCATTTCAACCCTGAGCTACAAAAATTCTCCTTAACTGTATACAGCACTTTCTTATGTTTCCCTCACATTGAATGAAATTAGTAATTTAAGCCCTCTTTAGATGGACACTATAATTTGAGCTAGGGACAATAATGTCAGAAATGTTGCTCCCAATAAAGACATTTATAGACAGCTGGAATGTCTGATTGCCTTTCTATGTCCCATAATTAGCAAAGCTTTCTAAGATAACAATGCAGCTTCAAGGTCCATGGAGATGGTGCAAGTGGAGGAGGTGGAAAACGAGATGAATTATCCCTAACCAACATTTGAAAGTATTGAGTCATATCTCTATTTCTAAACTTAAAAGAAAAACCATACTGGGCCTATAGCAGGAACTTGGAGATAATCTGAAGATATATTGATTGTTTGATTCTACTGTAGGGCTGAGAAACTATTGTGCAACTTGAGTTGGACACCACACTAAAGCTGAGAAATAAAATAATATACTATCTTCCCCCAGTACTTGAAATTATAGCACACCAGTAAAAGTTGTAGATGTAAAGCCAGCAAGGTCAAAATAAGAATAGTAAAAGCAAAAAAAAAAAAAGTATAAATCAGGCTGAGTAACAATATAGATGGTGTCATTGTTTGCAATAATAAAAATACAAATGTTTTGTTATTTTATTTTTTGATTAAATTTGCATCCTATATTACATCCCCTTATTATCAACTAACTTGGTGCCTTCCTAACTAGGCCACATTATGATAATTTTGAATATATTTAAACCTATTTCAACAGTACATCTGCTGTTGGCCATCTGCTGATAGTTCACAAAATCAACTTCTTTTTTTCAGTGCTAAGCATTCAATGATAGAAAGCTTATTATGTTACCAAATCTGGACTGCAGTACTCCAAATAACCACTATATATGACAACAAACTAACTCCTTTTTTACAATCCTGTAATCCTTAGAGTTGGGGCGACTGGATGGAGCTGAGCATTTACTAGCCGGATGCCCTTCCTGATGCTACGTGGAGTTAACAGCAGATATTTTTTCTTTGTGCATTATCTGCCGCTACGTAGGATTGAACTCTCAACCTTCTGAGTGGGAGGCGAGAGTCTTCACCATTAGGCCACCGTGCAGCTCAACACTAGATGACAACAAAGAGACACAGAAATATGTCATATAGTGGTCACCCGGATTTTAGCCCAGATATGTTGACTCTAATATCTTCTTTAATTATGTCTGGGTAATTTCTAACAGGTTGGCTATTTGAAACAAGCAAACAGACAAATCATACACATCTCGTTTAACTGTCCTTTAAAAAGGTATTATTCTGTCTATAATTGTGTCCTAGTATATGTGCTTAATAGCATTGTGACGGGGAGTAATCACCATTGCTTCATCTAACTCAGTATTAGAATTGCATAATAAAAGGCACACACTGTAAAATATGCACAACAGGTTTTCTTTTTTTTAATCATATACAAAAATGACCTTATCCAGCCCTAAGTGCCGAGTCAGCTTCTGTCTATTTAATTGGCATTTTTAAATAATACAGTAGTTTAAAGTGTATTTTCAAGCTGAGCAGGGACTATTCTCCCTTTAGGATTGGTACAAAATTACCTAAAATTATTTAACCTGGCTTGTTGACTTTGATGTAGCTTTACAGAACAGGATTGAGAAGCTATACCCAGATTGGAGGGCAAAGGAAGGAATTAAAAAAAAAGAAAAAAGAAAAAAAGAAGGATGTTTTCTAAACTTTTTTTTCTCCAAGTAGTATATTTTTATATGATGTATGTTTAAGTTCTTTCTGTATATGAGTACATAACATTAAAAAAGGCAATAAAATAACAAATAGAAGTATTATTTCTATCTTACTGATAGAGAGGGAAACATTATATCATAATAGATCAGAAATTCATTGGTTGATTACAGTGATGGGATTCAAATATGTGAACAACCGGTTCTCTGTTGGATGCCACTTCTGGAAGTCCATTCTGGGCCTGGGCAACAGGCAACAGCTACCGGTTCTGCCGAACTGGTGCAAACTGGCTGAATCCCACCACTGGTTGATTATGTACCATCAAATGGTATCGATTCCTGGCAACTAAACAGATTTCTCTGCATGAAGATCTGTTCATATTCTGCTTTTTCAAATGGTCTTAGATGAAGCATAGGTTGGATAACTTTAGACATCAACAATAGCCATCTACAGTTAACTGTCTGAGTGCAAATAGCTTTTAAGTGAGTAGAGAAGAGGGCTTCACCTTTGTTCTTCATACATTCAGCTGGGATGCCTCAAGAAGATTTGACTTGAAGGTGAACTCATCTCCTCTGATCAAGAACCATTATAGAGCTGAGTTCCAGATGAGGTTGAGAACTGTAATGCTTGCCATTGAAGACAAGAACAGCATACTCTTACATTTACTAATCAAAAAGATGAGGGACAGCAGGTGAGACAATAAGATGCCCTCTACTCAAGTTTAAACTTTCATATATTCAGGCAAATATCTACAGAGGACTCTTATGACATTCTTATCTCTGTTGAGAATCAATGGATTTTCCAGGCTTCTATGTAGAGAAATATACTATATATTTGTTCTAGATGTGGTCATTTGATGAACAAATTGCCTGTACAATTTGTACACTGTAAAACAGCCTAAATGACTTGTTTTTCTGCATAGGAGAACATCATGGAGGTGATTAGGAATCAAGAATTTTTACTGTTGCCAGCAGAGGAACTGCACAAACTTCTTGCCAGTGATGATGTGAATGTTCCTGATGAAGAAACCATTTTCCATGCCTTAATGAAGTGGGTCAAATATGACCTGCAAAGGAGATGTAACGACTTGAGTATGTTGCTTGCCTACATCCGGCTACCGCTTCTTCCACCACAGGTAAATGTTTAGTTACTTCTGGATATGTCTCTCTCTGTGTACGTTTGTGTGTGGATTTCAAAGTATTAAGTAAAGTATGTATCTTCCTCAACTATTAAATATACATTTTAGGTGGTATGTACAAAATTCCGGAAGAAGAGATTTTTTTTTTAGAACTGTAGAATGTAGAGCAGTGATGGCAAATCTTTTAGAAACCGAGTGCCCAAAAACCGCCCCCCACCCATCCCTGCTCTGCCCTGCCCACTGGGCCACCCACCACCTCCACGGCGCAACACAGATCACCGAAGTGGCCCAGCAGCGCCATGGTGGCCACGCCCTCCACCCGTGCCCTGCACCCATCTGCGTGCAATGGGGTGCAAGGGCAGAGTCTTGTTCCCGCTGCCCGGCTATCATGTCCTTGGCTGCACTGCTTCTCATGGGCCACGCCCGGGTGCAACTCTCCTCCGGGGGGCTGCTGGTGAGGAGGGGGCCATGGGAAGAGATGGGGCTGGGGTGACGGCGCATGTGCCCACAGAGAGGGCTCAGAGTGCCGCCTCTGGTACGCGTGCCATAAGTTCACCACCACTGATGTAGAGTGTTTGTGCCTTTTCTAGCACACAATCCAGCTCCGGGTTTCGGGAAGTTAAATCTCTGAACAAGAAACATTTTGCAGGATCCAATCAGGGTTGGTCACCCGGACCAGAGGCTTAGTCTTCTGAGTTTTTGGACTTGTGTTGGAGCCCATCCTCAGGGAACCTCTGTCTAGCAGAGTGTGTGTTTTGGGCTGTTCTATGGGTGTGGTATTTACAGTATATAGTGCTTTTGTGGTGCTTTAGTTCTGTTTTGGGGCTGATCTGCTTCTGGTTTGGAGGATTAGCAATTGAAAAATTTCTGGGTCCCTCCTCCCCACCTCCAAAAGGTGGATTGGCATAATATAGAAAAGAAATGTCATTTTATTTTCTCTTCCTGGGAACCTTTTCCATAGACTTTCCATTCAAAATATGATGAATCGTGCAAACAATAAGGTAAAAAAAAAAAATAGCCTGCACAATGATAAGCTTACCAAATAAATAAATATGCTCACTGATTACCTTTCTTAGCCTATCATCAATATGTCTATAAGAAAATAAATAAGCACCAGAAAAACTCACTCACTAAAAAAAGAATAATTAAAAACACAACATGTCTGTGTTGCTTATATGCAGAAAAAAAAAATTATGAAGTCTAGGCTATTTTTCTTTTCACAACCATTCTAGTTCACATCCACACATTCATCAGAATGGGGGGGTGGATGTAAGTCATCACTTTGCCTTGGAACTTCCTAGCTTCCTAATCTTGGTTAATGGATTCTCTGCATCAGACACTAGTGACAGAAAGTCTGCAAATGGGGATGCTGAAGCATTTTGCAAAAGAGAACATTGATCATGGTGTATTCATGCAAATATCTGGGAATCGGAGAACTGAAGCTCACTTATAATTGAATCTGGACTTCAGCTTGCGAAGAGCACTTAACCTTAAAATCTGGTTTAAAATTAAGCCAGATTTCTTCTAAAGACTTTATTATATGTAAGACTATATTTTAGCTTGGTTCAAAATGTTTGCCTTAGAAAAGCCTGTGATGATTTAGGACTTTGGGAAAAGAGTGTCTTCTCAAGAAGAGTTCACGGCCTTATTTGTTCCGGTGTTTCTCAGTCTTGCAGCTTAAGAATTTAACTCCCAGAATTCCCCAGCCAATCTTCCCCAACCCACAATTCCCCAACCAACTTCAAACTACCAAGGTTGAGAAAAATTGCTCTATTTGTCAGAGAACTAAAGAACATTCAGCGATATCACAGGCTATAGCAGATGGTAGGTGCTTCCGTTCCTATCTGACCCAGCTGAGAATTCATTTCACGGGACGCTCACAAATAATCCTTAGCGTTAAAGTTTTGTTTAGGTTTTTTTTTAAGAGCTATTACATCAATGTATTCTGTTAAGAATTTAAGGCAGGGTTTCCTTGTCACCAAATAACGGGGGTTAATCACCATGAATTTAACCAGGTTTTCCAGGTTGATTGAGGTACCAAGACATATGCTGCAATAAGGAAGCTTCCGTTGCCAACAATATTGTTTTTAAATTACTAGGCACTGTCTTTTACATTATTACGTACATTGGTTCCATTTTCTAAAATACCAACACATTTTAATTATTGCAGGTATATTCATATTCTGCTTTCTCCAATGGATATATTTTGTATGTATGTATATGTCTTTTTTATTCTATTTATTCAATACATTTCTAAAATTGCCTGTTTCAGAATTTGTGACTCTGGGCAGCCTATGTGACTTCATTAATGCAAGCAATTGTATGGGTGATTTTTCCTAAAATACGCTTGTGTTTTGATACGCATATTGAATTAAAAACTGTTTAATAAAATCTGAAGCAGCAGAAAGTTTGGCTGTTTGTCCTCTTACAATTCTCTGCCTAGCAGTTAGAAAATGTGAGTCAAATCAGCTTGCTTAAACTATTTATCATATGCCAACCAAATGATAGGCATACAGGCAATTTTACAACTTACAACAGTTTACTTAGTGATCATTTGAAGTTACAACAGCACTGAAAAATGTGAACTATGACCATTTTTTTTCACACAACTATTGCAGCATCTCCATGGTCAGACGATCAGAATTCAAATGCTTGGCAACTGGCATGTATTTGTGACTGTTGCAGTGTCCAGGCTTCATTTGATCAGCTTCTTTGACCTTCTGACATGCAAAGACAATAGGGAAGCCAAATTCCCTTAAAAACCATGTTACTAACTTAACCACTGCAGTGAAGGTTGTAAAATGGGGCAAAATTCACTTAACTGTCTCGCTTAGCAACAGAGGTTTTGGGTTCAAGTGTGGTTGTAATTCGAAAAATACTTCTGATTGTAAAATGCCATTTTTGGGGGTGTACAATTTAAAATGGGGGCTCACAATAAAAAGAAATATGAGAAACAAGTATTAGAACAGCATGATGTCTGAAGAATTAAAAGCAGAAAACAATGCAGCTTGAAAATGAAAGGCATGGGACAATAAAAGGTAGGCTGGGAGCATCAGCCAGTTATGTGTTTATGTGTTGTTTGATGAGTTAGTCCAGCTGATACCTGCACACTCGGTCTTCTGGAGAATTGACTATTTCTACACACAGTAAAAGGGGGTATGATGGTTCAGTGGTTAAAGATGCTGAACTTGTCAGCTGGAAACCCGACAGTTGGGTTTGAGGTCCAAGCACCATGCAATGGGGTGACCTCCCGTTATTTGCCCCAGCTCCTGCAAATGCAAGTAGATAAATACCATGTTTTCCCCAAAATAAGACCAGCTCTTAATTTTTTTTTTTACCCTAAAAGAGGCACCAGGTCTTATTTTTGGGATAGGCCTTACCTCACCTCTGGCACTGACAGCCCCACCCAGCCGGTCCACTTCTTCTGGCGCCGAAGTTCTGCAGCTACATTCGGGCCTGCATTTTGCAGTCAGGCCTTTCCAGAAGGCCTAAGCATCCAAGTACTGAGCTATGGATTCAATCCATAGCTTGGTGCCTGACTGCTGAGATTTTGCAGAACCGAGCCATGGATTGAATCCATAGCTTGGTTCTTGGCTGCATAGGCCTTCCGGAAAGCCCTGTGACTGAGAAATGCAGGCCTGGCTGCAGAAGAGGCCTCAGAAGAAGTGGGCCAGCGAGGAGAGGCATGGCTGCAAGGCGAGTGGATGTGGGGCAGGTGGGGTGATTTTTAGGTGTGTGCCTAGCCCCAAAACTAGGGTTTATTTTGGGGGTAGGGCTTATATTAGGGCCACCCCCAAAAATCAAGCTAGGGCTTATTGTTGTGTAGGCCTTACTTTCGGGAAAACATGGTAGGTACCACTTTGGTGGGAAGGTAACAGCATTCTGTACGCCTTTGGTGTATAGTCATCCATGACCATGGAAGTGTCTTTGGGCAAAACTCTCTCCCTCAGTTAAGAAACAAAAATGACCAGCATCCCCTTAAGAGCAGTGGACTTCAAACTTGGCAACTTTAAGACTTGTGGACTTCAACTCCCAGAATTCCTCAGCCAGCCCTGTCCACAGTTAAGCACAAGTGGACAGAAGGTCCTTTTTCCTTTACGTTTACACATACTAGATGTACTTTATACAAACCAGGGCAGATTGCAGAGTGCTGCATACAGCCCAGCCCTAATCAGCTCATTACCCTCTCGAGAACAGTTTTTGATGAGCAAAGTGGAATTAATTTCTTTCCTTTCTTTTTTGAGGACTCCTACTTTGTGACTTGGAGTGGCTTCTCTTGATATATTTTGTTTACAAGTAAGACACCAGAATGCAAAACAGATCAGTGGAAATGAAAACCCCAAAGCTAAGCCAGATAAATTATTGTTCTAATTTTAACAGATTTACTCTTATGTGAGATTACATATGTAAAGTGTTACATTTTAAAACCTTATCCGAGATAAAAACCGCTTAAAGCTTTCAGTGGAAAAGTGCCAGGTTTTAATTAAAATAGATTCAGGCAGGGTTTAAGAATAATTACACTGGATTTATTTTACAGCTAGCAAACTAAATCAGAATATTGGTTAAGGTAAGACTGGATCAATTAGGATAGTAAAGGTAATTTGCATTTCTAATGCATGTCTAATCATCGTGCAAAGATTGGCTTGAATGGATCTTTAAACTTGTCTGGAACAGAGGGTCTCACGAGATTGCCTTTATTGTGAATTTAAAAATTCTAAAAGCCTTTTTAAAAATAATATGCTGTCTTGGAAAAAAAAAGCAGTTTCACAGTAAATCTGTCATGGCTGTGTCCTCTTGGGACAATTCACATCCAACTTCTTAAAAGCAAAATTGACTGGCACTTTAAAAAAACCAACAGAGTTTTAAAATGAGAAATAACAACATGGCAGCATAATTCTGGAAGGAATTTAAAGAAGTTCCTTAAAATTAGAGATTAGTGGCATGCAAACCTAGTTCAAGAACATAAAGCAAAGGTCCCATGCTTGTTGAACTTGCTC